ATAAACTTGTCAGATATGTAAACAAGTACAAGCCCCGCGGGTAATTCGCAAGTATTCTGGATTCAGACGAGTACTTGTAATAACAAGTACTTGGTAATAACAGGTATGAGTACGGGTCAAGTTTTTCATTACTTGAACAGGTCAAGCCAAGTCACAAGTATAGCAAAAAGTCCGGGTACTTGCCCCGTGCCCAGGCCTAGTAATTATATATGTAATTCACAAATACTCGCACATAACTCACAAGTATTTGCAAATAGCAAGTAATAAGTCAAGGTAAGTAACTTGCAAGTAATCCATTTTTCAGCAGATACTCGGAAAAACAAGTACTCGTTTTTAACAAGTCAAGTACAAGCCGAAATTTTCATTACTCGAATAAGGCAAGTTAAGTATCAAATATCGTTAAAATAGCAAATGCCCGCCTTATGCCCACCCCTATCTGAACCTGCTCAAAATCCGATACTTGACAAGGTATTGTAATCTGACCCGGTTGGTCAAACCCGTAAACCCGCTCCGCCTGCTCCAGAAACTCTCCGAACAGAGGATGGTTAAAGTAAACCACCGGAACCACCGGAACCACCATGCGCCGGGTATCATCGTTTGATTCTCCTACGTGAACCACTAAATGACCTTTGGGAACAGCCAGCGAATTCGGTTCGTTACCCAACCGAGTATGAACTGTTTTTTCCCCTCCACAAAGAATACTTGCTCCACGACGTAGACACCGTGCTAAAGAGCAGATTCTTAAAACCGGTTGAGAATCCGGTTCATTACCTTGTAAACGAATTTCATACTCAATAAAAGTACATTTTTGTCAACCGAATTTTGATTGTATCGTTGTGTTTAAGAGTATCGTTGTCCACAGTATTTGTCTTCTCCTGATTAAACTCTCGATCACTACAAAATACTTAGTGTGGATTTTATAATTTACAATAGTCACCATCTTAATATCACCGCTCCGATAACACTACCGCTGCAATACTCACTACAATTATCGATTACAATTTTTTTTCTTCTATTATTGGCTATCAGTTTGAAAAAAAAAAGACAAAACCAAGAAAATATTGCAAAAATGCTATGAGATTTAATAACATTAAAATCAATGCTATATTCTTAACTAGGACCGGCCCGGGCTACGCCCGGGATTTTTGTTTAAATTTTAGTTTTAACTATATATGTTGTATGTTATTTTGATATATAAATATTATAATCTAATATACAAAAATATAAGTAGTTAGGCAATTATAACATTATTTTCATTATTTTCATTATTTATTATTTTTTCGTCTTACGAATTTCAAAATTTTTAATATCCAAATGTTGTATATCATAAATTATTAGTATGTGTTTATGTGTTTTGTGTAGAATTGTGTGTACTGTGGCGGTCTCGTCTCGACTTTGGTTCTTTATTTGATATATATATTTGGACTGGTTCATTATGTTTTATCCGGTTAAGCAGAATGCAATATGTTGGTGGACTATTTAAACTGAAAACAATATATATGCATATTAAGTCACATTTGATGTATTGTTAAATTACAAAAAGGCCACTGAAGAAAAATCTTAGGATTAATTATAAATTTAGTGGCAAAAGTTACAACATTCCATATGAAAATACGGTTAATTTCATATTGTATTTAAGTTTTATAAAGATAGATGGATGATGTGGTAAACTGATACACAAGCCTTGTACTTTGGCACGCTAATTGATCATAAGTTATTTTTTTGTCGATGGTCATAGGGTTTATACACAAACATAAATTTGTCATTACATTGCATTAACTGGTTGTAGGATAGTCGATTTCTTTGTCATTGGTTATAGATTTTGATAATATGTTCGATAACACATGAAAACACTGCATTCCCATTTTTTCTATATAAAGGGAAAAAGCTCAAAAAAAAAAGTTTGACTTGATTTATATTTTATCTCCATTACTTCAAACTTCTTTAGGCTTTCCGAGAAATAAGATAACCAGGAGGGTTCTAACATTTCTCGATTTGATACTTCTGATTTTACCATCATTACCAATGTTAGCTTCTTTATCAAGAAGTGGCTCAATGGACCCTTTCAAGCCAATATGCAGCAAAATCAAACAAAATAAAGTGTGACACTAAATACTTAATTAAGAAACACAAAATAATAATAGTATGCTCCTCTAAGTGATTTACATGTAACGCAATATCAACAAACTCTTGAAATCCACAAATACATGTGTTGCTATCAATCTGCATGCATACCGCTTGAAGAATCTCTACTACTCGTGCATCCTTAAGCTTCCAAGGGTGATCTTTCGCAAGAGCCCATAGAAACATAAACTAATGTCAAGTGTTGTATTTGGTGTATTGCATTTTGCTATTGATTGAGAGCTTGTTATCATTTTTACCAGCCTCATCTCTCCAAGACTAATGGCTCCATTCTTATCAGCATCCATTGCACAAAACTGGTCTCTGAGATCAGCCAACTCCTCTTCATCAAGAGTTGCAAGAAAAAAACACAATCATCAGAAGAAGATCAGACAATTAATATAAATGACAAAAAATGTGCTTACATATTTCTAATAGTTGGCCAAGGCTTTCTTCTGAAGTCAGGTTTGTTCTTCAAGATTTAAACGTAGAAATACACATCTTCAATTCAAGATTAAGAAAAAAGAAATAGTTATCACTTTTTCTTGAGTGAAACCACACAAACCTCTTTGAAGATACCATCTTCAGTTTTATCCCATAAAGGTAGTCTCCTACAGAGAAGAATGTAACTGAGATAACACCGATACTCCACACATCCGATTCAGGTCCTGACCGGCGTTTCAATACCTCAGGTGCTACATAGTACGCGCTTCCTACTATATCATGAAACTTCTTGCCTAGAAAATTGTATAAAGATTATTCTTATATAAAGGTTAGATCAAAGAAGCAATATATCAAGACAAACTTTGCAGCTACTGATTTGATGAAATCTTATAAACCAAAATCTGTAGCTTTTAAAACTGAATGCTTTAGGGTTCTTGAATAGAAAATTCTAATTGAATAAAACAAAACTACACATTTAGAAACGTGATGAAGACACTATTATACCAACCTCTGGTTTAATATATCTGTGAACCAGACCACGTAAATGACATTCAGCTGCAACTTTTAGCATATGTCTTACTACCACGCTGTTCTTTATCGGTATAGTGACTATCTTTCCTGTAAAAAATAGCAGCAAAAACTATTAAGACTATAACATTCAGAAATAAACTAAAATGTATCAGTCACGTACATACTTGGCTGGTATCCATCCGATCCAGCAATTCACCACCCTCACATAATTCAAATCGGAAAGAAACACTCTAGAATTAATCATTTCGATGATCATGAGTAGTGAAATATGAGGATGGTTTTCAGAGTACGAAGCATACCTATTTTTACTTGCAGCGACACCGATTCTCAGTAACTAACATCATATCGCTGTCGAGATCGTGGGGAAATAGTTAATAATAAAATGGAATGGATCAGTGATTGGCGCAGTTTCAACCGAAAGGAAGGAAGTCGAAGAGGGAGATGAGCTAAGAAGAAATGAATCGACACGCAGAGCTACCCTGATCTATCATTGTGTCGGCTGAGAGCGGAGTCTGTCAAGAACCCTAATACCTTTAGACGTTTCAGTATCAGAGACGTGTTTCAGATCTAACGGGTTGTTTCGTCAATTTTAGCCAAGGCCTGAAACCCGTGAATTAGCCCAACAGCACAAAGAGAACTCTTAAGAACCCTAACACCTTTAGACATTGCTGTATCAGAGACGTGTTTCAGATCTAACGGGTTGTTTCGTCAATTTTAGCCAAGGCCCGAAACCCGTGAATTAGCCCAACAGCACAAAGTGAACTCTTAAGAACCCTAACACCTTTAGACGTTGTTGTATCAGAGACGTGTTTCAGATCTAACGGGTTGTTTCGTCAATTTTAGCCAAGGCCCGAAACCCGTGAATAAGCCCAACAGCACAAAGAGAACTCTTAAGAACCCTAACACTTTAGACGTTGCTGTATCAGAGACGTGTTTCAGATCTAACGGGTTGTTTCGTCAATTTTAGCCAAGGCCCGAACCCCGTGAATTAGTCCAACAGCACAAAGAGAACTCTTAAGACAATACACGTGGCATGATCTCCCTATTGAACTTTCTTACATGGCATCTGACGTGGACATATCTGACGTGGACATGTTAATAGGGAGTGAAACACTCCTTTATATAATAGATTTGTTGGTGAAATATAGCTAAATGGCAAATAAGCCCAAAGATAAAGAGAAATTGATTGCCGGTGACACTGCCAAACCAAAAAAAAAAACACTAATAGCCGATCAGATATAAATAGGGGAGAAAAAACAAAAAGTTTAATTAATCAACAAAAAACGAATACGCTAGAGGGAGGGGTCAAATCTCCAACCTTGTGGTTAAGAGCCACACGCTCTAACCAACTGAGCTACCCCAGCTAAATGTTTAATTAATTACTTTATTAATATTATCTTTATTAATTTGTTTACTAATCGGGTTTCTCCATTTTTGAGTGAAATAATCATAGAAATTGTATCTTCATTCTACTAAATATGTAACATAATCCGGTCGATATTTTTCTTAATATTTGTACATCGATCTATTGGACACTGGACTAATCATATGAAGTCCCATAGTTAACTTTACTTGGTCATCATTATATATAGAGAAAAAATTCATCAATAAGTAAATCGGAGAAATATATCTCATTTGTATCCTGGCCTTTTTTTTTTGCTTAAACTTTGGTGATTGTATCCTGGACTTCAAATTAACTTCACATGTTCTCCATAAAATATGACTTATAAGTTATAACTTATAACTAACTGCATGATAGTATAATACAATCTCGATCCACTCGTGTTGGTAAGTTTGATACGTGATAGATGCCAAACAAATCACCTTTGTGTAAGAATAAATAAGACAACAAATACATTAATCTAAACTATATTTCTCCAACATTTTAGGAAGGTTGCTTGGTCGCTCGTTACACAGGATTGGGACGAAAACATACTTTGATATACGCAAACTGTAGGGAAAGTTCCCATCTCTCTCCTTGACATTTGACTTTATTCTCAGGAAGTTAAAAATAAAAAAGCTAAAATTATTTATTTTTAGTAAGTCAACGCTAGAGAATCTTGAAACTCCACTTCCGTCGGCAATGATCCCATGCAGCGATCTTCATCTGAACCTGCTCAAAATCCGATACTTGACAAGGTATCGTAAACCGACCCGGTTGGTCAAACCCGTAAACCCGCTCCGCCTGCTCCAGCAACTCTCCGAACAGAGGATGGTTAAAGTAAACCACTGGAACCACCACGCGTCGTGTATCATCCTTTGATTCTCCCACGTGAACCACTAAATGACCTTTGGGAACAGCCAGCGACTTCGGTTCGTTACCCAACCGGGTCTGAACTGTTTTTATCCCTCCGCAAAGTCTACTTGCTCCACGACGTAGACACCGTGCTAAAGAGCAGAATCTTGAAACCGGGTTGAGAAGTCTGGTTAGACTTTGGCGTTTCCCGGTTTGGGTTCTTCTACTTGGGATGATCCATTTGAAGATCTTGACGAATCTGTGACAGATCTTGAAACCTCGGAGCCTCTTCATGGTTGTTCAAATGTGTTGAAAACAGAGAACCCACAAACAAAACCTTTTCTAGAAATTATTACTAAAACCGCGATTCAGAAACGGTTTAATCGAAAAATTGGAACTTTGGTTTGCTATCTGTCTCTCTATTGATCTGTATTGTGTTACAGTTCAAGAAGAAGAAGACTGAGTTGGTTCTGGGAAATAGTGCAAAGCAACCTCTTTATATAGCCTCTGAGGTGTGTGACCGTTGAACGGTAATTTGTGTGTGCGTGCGGGTGTATGCATGTGCATATTAATTTGATGTATAATTTTCCAGATTCAACATGTTAATAATACCAAATACTAATATTTTTCTAGTAAAACTATATATTTTAGGTCCTTGTCATTTTTGAGAGACTTATTGTAACGAATGTCATCTAACGAACATTATATTCGATTTTTTGAAGCAAAAAAAAAAATTGTGTTTATCATTCGTCGTTTGTTGTTTATGAACAAGAGCATAACAAATTACCGGTGCTGGTTAGTACTCAAGTAGCATAACAAATTACCGGTTTAGCTATGTTTTTGGCGACCAGACCTTTTTGTACGGTGTCTATCATCACTAGTGAAAAGTCATACCGTTAACGTATTGAAGGTCAATCTCAATCAATGTACAAAGGCTTTTCAAAGTCAAATCTAAAATATTGAACGATTATACGCAATGTAAGTGCTGACCAAGAAGTTTCGTTGTAATGTTTTTGTCGCAAGTTCGTTGTATGATACACTCTAGAATGTTGATACAAACATCAGCATGGTGTCAGTGAGGCAATCATCAGTATGGTGCCGTCAGAGAGGTCAAGTATTTCTAAGTTTTTCTCCCATTTGAAATATCAAAGTATGTATATGAATATAAAATATCAAAATTACCACCTGTTCTTTAACACCATGATACACCACTAGCTAGTAAAACTTTATGGTTAAGCAAATGAGTAAAAACTATGCTGTTGTAATTGCATCGAAGGACCCGATTGGAGTATGTTGTTATTATACTCATTTATTTAATCATCTAAATGTTCAATATGTCGTATAGTGTACATGCGCATATGGGTGTGTCTATCAGTCTATATATATATGGACTAATTAAGTCTTCGTCCAATATAAATAATATAGGTTTTGATAAGAGATCTCGATCTATGTATGTAAGAAATGAAGAATAAGATAAACGGCCATGTTTAAGGATATATCCCAGTTATGGAAATCAAACAAAAACCTCCTAAAGATGTTTAACTATTTCATGGAAAATCAATTAAATATTGTCAAATTTTAAATTATTCATAAAGAAATATTAAAAAACAGAGGTTGACAAAGACAAAAGCCAAGCATGTGTGTAGGAGAGACATGGAGTAGGGTTTTGGTCGGCAGTCGGCACGGCCCGTGCTATCTGCGTAACATGCTTCAGTTCACAGAAAGTGCTCTCTTTCTTTTTCTCTTCAGTATCATAATATCTTAGTAAGTTCTTAAGATAATTATCTGAAAAAAATAATTATATGAATAAGACATGTTTTGTTACCGGTCTGAGATTTCCTTTACCTAAATTTAGAATAATTACTCAATATTTAGTTTGTAGGTAGCTCCTCTATATCTGATAGGAATCAATAATTGATATCGATATATATATATTTTTTTTTTTTTGGGTTCAACTTCAACTTTCATTAACCAAATTTCGAATATAAAGTTTTAACCTTACAGATATTTAAACCCCACATACAACACTGGATCTAGTACCACCTAAGAACACTTAGAAGAATCCTACGCTACCCAATCGAATCAATGTTATATTTTTCACCACAATAAAACAAATTCATCTCACGGTCCGAGATGAAACGCCTCTTGAACCACCTAATTCTACCTCTAATACAAGATTACAAAGCTATTCCTAGACAACTAAGACATCCTAATTGAGAGTGACCATTGATTCCATAAGATATGAGTGTAGTGCGTGATCAATCGCTTTAACAACTCAAAAGCGCATACTCTCAATCAAGAAGACCCCAAGTAACTGGGAACATGAAGCTTTGGAACCTTGTCGGGGAGTCAAACCAGAAACCGGAGGGACAAAGTACCAGCCAGCTTGAAACATCCACACCTCCCCAAAAATTCGGGTTGAGACTTCTGCGACACCTGCAATCTAGCACCTCCAACACAGAAGAAGAAAGGTTATGACAATGAATCTGCACTGCGAATGATTTGCTTCAAAACATGTTGCCACCAATACCCAAACTCTCATGTTGACCACTCAAGGAAAGCTAAGATCTTGACACATCATGTCTCCGAGAACAGAAGAACAGCTTCTGTGAAGGCACCTCCACACTAGTGGCCTGAACTTCGCTTGTCCAAAAGAATCTCCCTCTGTCCAACCGTTGGCTAGGCCACAGACGACCCAACACAGATGAGGGGTTCTCGGGAGCACATGAATCATGAGCCAGTTCGGTTGACACGCATCGACCGTATGCACTCTGTTCAAGCCGTCGAGAGAGATATCCCACGACGTTCAATGGTGAGGGTAAAGGCGATAAGCTACCAAGCACCAAGTCTGCTCTACCGCCCTTACACGCGCATCTCACCTTTCGAAACTGATCCCCAGCCCGCCAAAGCGGACCACTTCCAGATCTACCGAGGAGAGGACAAAAAATAAAGCCACGCGCCTCTGTCTCGGTGGAAAGAGCCAACGATTCAGAAAGGAAAAATCAATCGACGGCTCTGTCCAAACCTAAACGCCGACCCTTCATGACGCTCCTCTTCGCTTGACTCGCTTATTTTCTAAAGACTCGTCTTCCAACATCTTTGCTTTGCTCCGATGTGGTCAGAACAAGAACCAAGGGTCTCTGTCGCACTCCAGAAGCGAAAATATATCGTCGGAAAGAGAAACACTCCATGGAAAGCAAAGATAAGACAAGATGAAGGGAAGATAAAGCCTCCGACGCTGGATCTGAAAACCGGACGCCGGGGGCCCACCAAAATTTCAAAAGTTTGCGTGACAGCTGGTGGAGAGAATTGAGAGCAACTAGGATTTTCTTTTTAGTTATCCATATCGGTATATCATTTATAATAAGGAAGTTTCATTTAATATTAACCAATTTACATATGGTGATTGACTATAGACCTATAGTTTCAATCATGGTTGGCCACAACAAACTACCAATGCTATGATCTCTCCGTTATAACTAAATTAAATCATCCATTAAAATTTAATAAAGGGTTGAAATATATATTTGTTTGGCGAAAAAAAAAAAATAGGAGGTTTCATTGGAGTAAAGTATAAAAAAGTAAAGTAAGAAAAATTAGATGATATAGCTAACAAAAAAAAAAACCAAATTCAAAAAGTAACAAGTGTTCAATGAAAAAAGAATTAAAAAGTAACAAATGTATGTACTTCTGTGTACCTATTTTGAAGCATTATGTACCATACATCCATAATTTCTCAAAAAAGTACAATATACTATATACATCCATCTTGCATGCATGTGTTCTTATCTTATATGACTTCTTTTTATTCCTCTGACTTCTGGTCTCCAGATTCCTTTAACATATATATTTATGACAAATAGCTAACATTGATAATTAAGCTAGTTTTTTTTAGTTCGTCTATTGGATATATTCTGCCTTGAGTTGTCAGTTGTCACCGCATGTTTCAAGTTGTCAAACCTCAAAGATTTTGACTAATATTGCATGCGGTTAATTTTGCATATTTTCGTAAACTTATACAATTACTGAAAGAAATTTACTTGATTTGCGTATGGGTTTGCTAGCTTTCTAACGCAACTTATTGCGGTAAGCAATCATATATAATCGAATATATTGATACAGTGTGAGCACATTAGCCGTCTATCTTGGGATATAACCAATTAATCCAGAAGGAGTGTATAGAACCAGTTCCAAAAAGGCTTCACATGATATATGCAAGAATTTGATGTCTTCAGTAACTCAAGATGCATATGATAATTCCAAGTTTGTGATGACGACATGAGTTAATTATGTGTAAGTAATTATATAAATAACTTAAGATACTAAATAGACCACGTACATGAACCCTCCCGAGCAGACAGATCGAGTGAATATATTAAAATAGCGACACGTAAAGCAATTTATTTATCAGAGTATTAAAAATTGAGAAAATTCCATATTAATACACAACTTTAATTATTATTTCCAACTTAATACACAACTTTTAAAAGTGACCATAAAAAAACACAAACTAATTGTTTTTGTTCTTTTAATACCTCAACTAAACTCCGTGTATCCAGATGATATTGGCTCGTTAACGCCATTATTGAAACTGTTAAAATCGTTAATTTATGTCGTCTAACAGTAACCCGTGGTTAATAAACTAACCTTAAGCTTAAATATTCCCAAATGAAACCTAATTTATCTTCAACGAATAATAGAGAGAGGAAAGAGATTCAAAGAGAGAGGGAAAAAGATACATAAGAGAGATACATCAAAGCCAAATCTGGGGGTTGGGGGTCTAATGGAAGCTGCGGCGAGTTTTAGCACTGCAATGGGAGATATGAAGTGTATGTGTGGATTATCAGCCATTGTTATGAAAGCTGGGACGGACGATAATCTGGGAAGAAAACTGTAATTGTTGGGTTACAATCAAAGCTGAAGAAATGCAAGAAATAGGAAATCATAATTTGGGTGAAGTTGACAGCAACATAAATGAAGAAAGAGTAGAGAAATCAGAAAAATACTGACTGCAATGAAGTAGGAAACAATGAAGCTGAAAACTGAATTTGTGACTATGAATTTGTTGAATTATTGAGTTTCTAATTCCATAAGCTTTTGTATAGTTGGTAAAATTAATAATATTGCTTTGTATAAGTTAGTTACATATCGACAGTCACAATTGTTTAAAGAAGAATCATGTCTTTCTAACCATAAAATCGTGCCTGTTCTATTTAACGTTGTTGCCGTAATGTAAAAACTACAAGTTGTTTTTCACATTCAATAAAAATAAGTTTCAGTTATACTCTGTTTTC